TCACGATTTATTGTAGTGGCCTCCGGCCAGTGCCGCCGATCTGAGACGCTTCCGTTGCTGCCGGAAGCGCACGATGGCGGTCATGATTGGCAGCGACGGCGAGCGGTGAGGATGACGATGATGATGAGGATTGGGAATGGAGGTTGCATGGCAGGATGAGGAGGAGGACGAGGAGGAGGAGGATCATGATGAGGTGGAAGGGGGTGTGGGGGGATTGGCAGGAGTAGCAGGATGCTGAGGATGAGGAAGAAAAAGAGGAAACGGAAAGTGGAAGAGGGGGAGGGGGAAAGGAGGAACGTGACGAGGATGAGGAGATGTTCGGCGTTTGTTGGAAATGTTTGGCGGTTGTTGGGAAGCTTCTTTGGGGCTAAGTGTTGGCCCTCTTTGGTTTGACACCTCGCCGATTTGGCGTATTATGTGAAACGTTTTGTGCTCGAGTTGTCTGCGTCACAGTTCTTCGTGGAGCCTTGTGTATCGCTGGTCTCTGTTGGGAACCAGGGTGTTTTTTTGGTCTCGGGGGCCTTCGCGCGGTCCTCTGCGGGCCGTGGTGAGATCATGGATGTGAAGGACACCGAAGAGGGACGAACATGTGAAAACGTGGGGAAACCTTTTGTATTTCAGCGCTCGTGTTCAGACGTAAGCGTCGTGGAAGCAGTGGGGCCGGTTTTGGGCTTTTCGGAGGAAGTCTTGGAGGCAGCCTGGAGGCCTCTAGAAGGCGTTCAGGGGCCTTCAAGGGGCCTTCAGGGGGCCTTCAGGGGGGCATTCAGGGGGCATTTTTTGAAATTCTTGGGGGCTTTCAGGGGCCTTCAAGGGGAATCTTCTTCGGGGCCAGTTGGAAGCGTTTTGGGGCCTCTTCAGGCCTCTTGGGGGCCTCTGGGGGCCTGTTGGGGGTTTACTGGGCAGTCTTCGGCATTTTTTCCGCCGTCCTGGCGCCCTCTCAGGCGCCTCTTGGGCCCGTCCTGGGGCCCTTCTGGGCCTTTCCGGGGGCCTCCTGGGCCATCTTGGGCTCTTCTTGGGCCGTCTTGGAGCCCTGTTGGCGTCTTCTTGGGCCGTTTTGGGGCTCTTTTCGTCTGCGACGATCTGAAGGCCCAAGAGGCGAATGTGCTAAAATTGTACGTCTCCTTTAGGGAATGGGAGAATTTTTGCTTCTTTGGGCCTTCTTTGGGAGGCCTTTTCAGGGCTTCAGAGGGCACCTTGGAGGCTTCTGGAGCCGTTTTGGGGACATCTTGCGCGTCGTTCGGCGACTCGGGGCCCTGTTGGCCCATGTTGGGGCCCTCCTGGGCGACGGTGCCGCCCTGGAGTGAGCTGGAACTCCGATTCCGCCCCGGGCATCATATCGACCCCCCCCCTCCCTTCCCACTACCCCGGCAGGGCCACCCCGGCGCCCACCCCCCAGCAAAACTGAAGCTCAGGAATTGAGGCTCAGGCTGTTCTGGGGGTCTGTGAAGCTCACACGCCGGATCGGCGGACTTGGGAATCGCGCTGTCGCGTGAAGTTCCCTCGTGGCTCAGATGCTGGAATGGCGCTTCGGCGGCCCGCCCGTCCCACCGGGCCGCCTGGGCCCGCCCATCAGACCCTCGCCTGAACCCCCCTTTTGTGCTGGCCTCTCCCGTTTTCCGCCCCTCTGCCTCCCCTGTGTCCCTTTTCTCCTGCCTCCTTGCACTCAGAGAAGGACAAGGTACCCATAACCTCTACCCCCTCTCCCGTTTTCCGCCCCTCTGCCTCCCCCGTGTCCCTTTTCTCCTGCCTCCTTGCACTCAGAGAAGGACAAAGTACCCATAACCTCTACCCCCTCTCCCGTTTTCCGCCCCTCTGCCTCCCCCGTGTCCCTTTTCTCCTGCCTCCCTGCACTCAGAGAAGGACAAGGTACCCATAACCTCTACCCCCTCTTCCGTTTGCCCCTTTTGGGACTCTTAGGAGATCTTCGTCGCCACCGCTGGATTCGCATCGAATTCCTGGTCAGAACGCACCCTGGGAGAGGTCCGGGGAGTGGCGGCATCGGTACCTTTCAGTTTCCCCATTAACCGGTTTCAGGGGGTGCGCCAACTGCACGTGGCAGGCTCGGAAGAGAAGAGGTACCCCATGCGGGGTACGATCGACGATGAAAGGGCAGGAGTCGAGGGTTTGGGATCTACATGTTGAATGGCACGCGAGCAGATTGTTGCTGTTGCTTTGGTCTGAGGGGGAGGGAAGGGGAAGGGAGGAGCGAAGGGGTGGCTGCCGCGGCCTTGGAGATATAGGTCTTCGAGAGTTTTCGGCCGTCCTCGCAGGTCCCTGGATGTGATCTGAGATTCTCCGCGGTTTCAACAGGCGTCCTGGGATGGAGGAGGAGGTGGTGGAGGAGGAGGCGGGTGGACAGCCCCAGACGTGGTGGAGGGGCAGGATTGGTGTCGGCGGACTCGCGAACCCGCCTTTAGCAGCAGCAGCAGCAGCATCAGGGGTTGACAGGAATGATTCTTATAATGACGATGGTGGTGGCGATGCTGAAGGCAATACTTACGATGGTGTTGATGATTATGGTGACGATTGCGGCGATGAGGATGAGGCTGATGATGCTAATGATGATGCTGATGCTAGTGATTGATGAAACTAGAAATTAAGAAGATGGTACGGTACGGATGACGATGATGTTGCTGCTGATGTTGATGATGACGATGATGATGATGCGGACGATGATGGTGATGATGATGATGATGATGATGATGATGATGATGCTGCTCATGATGATGATGATGATGATGATGCTGATGGTGCTGATGGTGATGACGCTGATGCTGATGCTGATGCTGATGCTGATGCTGTTGAGGATGATACTGATGACGATGATAATGATAATAAGGATGACGAGGAGGACGATCATGAGGATGGTGATGATGACGATGACGGCACTCATGCTGATGGTGACGATGATGATGCTGCTGACGAGGATGGTGACGATGATGATGATGATGGTGATGATGATGACGCCGTTGCTGATTACGCGTGTGATTGTGATGATGACTTCAATGATGGGAACAAGGCTTACGATGTTGATGTTGATGATGAGGAAGAGGATGGTGATGATGATGTGGATGTTCTTGATGATGATGTTGATTACTATGAGGAACGATGACGAGGGCGATGACCCATATATAAATGATGATCAGTGTGGTCGGCGAGGAGGGAGAGTGAGAAGCTGAGGAGTTGCCTGAGCTACTGTGGGATGACGACACCGATCACGATGCTAATGATGATGTTGCTGTGGATGATGATGACGATGATGGTGATGATGATTCTGGTACTCGTGATGACGATGCCGATGATGAACATGAGGATGTTGCTGAGGATAAAGGTGATGATGTTGATGATGACACTGATTATGATCATGCCGATGATGGTGTTGATGATGATGATGCTGATGATGATGATGCTGATGATGATGATGATGATGATGCTGCTGATGATGATGATGTCGCGACTGATGCTTACTTGTGCGGATGAGACAGTTGATGTTCATGAGTGTGATGCTGGTGACGATGATGATGTTGACGATGCTACTGATGACGCTGATGATGCTGATGATTATGATGATTATGATGATGGTGACGATGCTGATGCTGATGATGCTGATGATGATGATGCTGCTGATGATGCTGCTGACGACGATGGGACCTCTGATCATGGTGATTGTAAGGATGTGGCGATGTAGACAGTAACGGTGATGCTGCTGATGCTGCTGGTGATGAGGATGGTGTTACCGATGATGATGGTGATGCTGATGACGATGATGATACTTATGATGTGGATGCTGATCACGGTACTCATGAGGTTGATGATCACGATAATGCCGATGATGGATGTTGTCGTTGAGGGTGATGACGCATTTGGTTAGACTGATGATGGTGACGGTGCTGCTCATGATGCCGAGCATGATTTGGATGCTAGTCATAATGTTGTTGCTGCTGCTGACGATGCTGATGATGATGTTGTCGTCGACGCTCACGACGAGGGTGATGTTGATAATTATGGTGATGACGTTGAAGATCGTAGTTGATTGCGATCGCTTTGATGGTTGTGGCGGTGAAAACGATAGCAATGACGACAATGTCGATGTTGTTGCTGAGGCTGATCATATGATCGTTGTTGATGGTAACGATGTTGATGCTGATGCTGATGCTGATGATTCGTACGATGCGGCTGTTGACTATGTTGAGAAGGAGGAGGGTGATATTATGTCGAGCTTTGTGCGCTGTGCGCGCACCATGTCTGACATCCAATCCTCCTGTGTCTTTATCCGTGGGGCGTCTTGGAAGACCTCGATCCTTTATATGTGTTACCGCGCGATGCGCGCTCTGACATGAGATATATATATATATATATAGATAATGCATTGGAGGGGGAACAGGAGGTGGAAGACGAGCAGGAGGATTATCAGGATGAAGATAATGATAAGGACTGCGGCGCAGGAGGAGGAGCAGGAGGGGGAGGATCATCAGCATCAGGATAAGGAGGAGTAGGAGGAACCGGAGGCGGATAATCAGCGGGAGGCGGATGAGGACATTGGAGGAGGGTGGTAACGACGAGGGATGACTCTGATCCAGAACGGTTGCCCTCGCTGGGGTGGGAACGCCATTCTGAGCGACAGGAGCAAGACACCCATCCTGTGCCATCCGTTGTGTGTGTGTGTGCGTGTGGAGTGCAATAAGCGAAAGAGGTCTGAGCGCACGCGCGCATTGTCGGGCGCGAGAGGCGAGTCGTACTCATACAGAGTAGTGATGGAGTCGGAGGAGATGAAACTGGAGGAGTAACACTCAGGAGGGGAAGAAGCACACAGACACGATGAATGGTCGACTCCCAGGAACATATAGGAGAACGTGGGGAGTGGGATGGAAGATGAACATCAAGAAACTATGGGTACATATATGGGGAATCCTTGGATCTGTGTGGATTTATGTGTGTGTCCCTGGGCCTCTTCAAGCATGATGCACCCAGCTAGCCTTATGCACGTGGAGCCTGAGATCATGTCTACACCCAGCACCCCGCAGGCGCCTTCTGCAGGGCCCCTCGGTTGCCGAGATGCCAGTTCATGCAGTGGAGGCCCATGCCAAGAAACACCCTGCTTGCCTCCAGGGTGCCCTGGGTTTCTTGGGTTTCGATGGTTTTGCTGTGAAAAGTGCGACGCTCCCACACCAAAGATCAATGGACGTCCTGGGGTTCGGTTCCAGCGTTGGGTTTCTTGTGGAAGGTTTCTTGTGGTCGGGCGGCTACTGTACACCTGGCACCCCGCAGGAGCCTTCTTCAGGGCCCCTCGGCTGCCGAGGTACCAAACAGGAGGCGGTGGATGGCACAAGATCGGCGGGCCATCTCGTGAGAGAGGAGTGCTCCTTCTCCTCCTCCTCCTCCTCCCCCTCCTCCTCCTCCTCCTCCTGTCTTCCTCCTCCTCCTTCTCCTCCCAGGGGTGGGGGTCAGAGGAGGAAAAGGTACCCTTCGCAGGTTTTTCCCCTCATTCGGCCTCTTGGGAGGCCTTCGTTGTCACCGCTGGATTCGCCTCGGAAATCTTGGTCAGAACGCACCCCAGGAGAAGTCCGGGGGGGTAGCAGTATCGGTACCTGTTGGTTTCCCCAGGCGGGATGGGTAGAAATGGGCAGGGCAATGCGAAGGAGGGGGATGGGCGAGCCGCAGTAGGTCGACGCGGACAGATCTGAATCGTATCGGCCGTCCGTTGGATTAGCCTTCAGTCCGTCGCCCAGGATGAGAGCAGGAGCAGGTGTAAAAGGGGTACGAGGCGGACCATGAGGATGAGGATGAGGATGAGAAGGAGAAGGAGGACGACGACGAAGGTGCAGTGGAAGTGGTGGTGGTGGTGGTGGTGGTGTGGGGGAAGACGGGTTCTGGGAGGAGGGGGAGGCGGCGAACGAGGAGGCGGAGTGTTCAAGACTTCCACATCTGCGGGCCGGGCGGCACTCGCGCAAGTATCGCTGCCGCGTGGTCGATGTTCCGCTCTTGCGGATCATGGAGGGGGCCAGGTGGGTCGCAAGGGAAGCACACTTAATCGTGCCTGCATCAGGACACACATTTCATCGCGAGAGGTGGACTGATGCCACAGTGGAGGGGCAGAGTAATCGAGAGCACGTCCGCATCGGGCTGGTGTGCCCTGGAGTGGCGGCTCACAGAGCCCACTGCCGATGCCAGTGCTTGTGCCATCTTGCAAGCAAGCGGTGCTCAAGAGAAGGACGTCGATTACAGACGGATCACCTGGGCTCAACACGTCTTGTTGTCTCTGAGAGCGTGCTCTCTCGCAGGCTGATGGCAGGCTACTTGATCCATCGTGACGACGAGGCGCCCCTTCACGCTGTTTCTCTTCCATATGTTCCATCTGCCATTCTCTTCTCTCTGCCGTTCCCCTCATGATTTCCAGTGATTCTTCCAGCGGTCTCTGGGTCTCTACCAAGCAGGCGTGCCTCATCGGAAGGAGGAGGAAGGAAGCCAAGAAGAGGAGAGAGGAGGAGGAGGAGGAGGAGCAGGAGGAGGAGGAGGAGCAGGAGGAGGAGGAACGTTTTGGAACGTTTTGGCAAGCAACATCGTGCAACGAGAGGCGGGCAGGGCAAGAGAGGGAGAGAGCAGCAAGCAGGAGCGCATGTGCCTAAGGCACTCCCCTTTAATCGGAATCGCTGCTAGGGTCGACAGGGAGAGGGACGGGATGCGCCTCGTCCACCGAAACAGTCAAAGCCTCTCCGATGCCCTGAGTCACAGCCAATTCCGACGGGATGGGATCTCGCGCTCGAGCTCGCTGATCGGCCACGGCAGAAAACCGAGCGTGGCGGAGCAGGACACTCGCCTTGGACGGGCCTGCGTAACTCGGGTACAAACCACGACGAATTCGGGCCAGATTTTCAATGCCCTTGCGAGAGGGCACTTTACAGTCAAGCACCAACTGGCGCCCGTCCGAAGTAGCCGTACGGCCACAACACTGGCAAACATACAAACTATGCAAATCCCAAAGCGCAAGCTTGTGGGACGGATGCAAGACCGCTCCAGACAACGTGACGGGGCCAGGGACCACCACGACAACGTCGGAGGGGAAGGAATCCACCCCCACAGCAGGGATGCACGGCGCCTTGGAGACCTCTAAGAGGTCAATTTTATCACACAGCACCTCGCAACTCCTGCAACGAAACGCGCTGCCGAAAGTCACAAACTTGTGAGGGGAGACGCGAAGCGCCCGATCCATCTTCGAACCCTGCCTCGCTCTCTCCAAGGGCGCAACAGCAGGGCGGGCCTTCCTGGGGTCGGCCGCGGACGAGTCGACCAGGGCGCGCCGCGCTCTCCTTGTAATTAGGGCGGTCTGAGCATCCCAGAAGTCAGTTCGAGGGTCCGTGCGGGCCGAAAGGTGCCAGGAACGCTCCGCGGCCTCTGAGGCCGCGCGGTCCGCAAGTTGATTTCCAGACCTGAGAATAACCTGGTGGGCCGTCAGGCCCTCGGCCTCCGTGTCCAAGTGGGAAACCGTCCACTCCAAGGTTACTAAACCTTCACCTCGCGAAGCAAGAGTGGTCTTAATTCGGAGCCACAAGTCCCAATTCCTCCCGCCCACTGCACTAACCCAACCCCGCCCCCAACCAGTAATCAAGGGAAGGTGGTCCGTGACATAATGAACGGGGCCAGTGGTGCCCTCACGGCACAAGGCGAAAGCCAACAAGTCAGAGCGGGGGACCGTTTGGGCTCTTCCCACTAAAATTCCAGAAACGCCCCCGACCACTTCCCACGTCGACGCCCCTGGGGTTCCACTGACCGAAACAACCGCCGCGCCACAACGGCGGCGCCGAGGGTCGGAGGAAACCCGTCCTCCCGAACCGTCCCCAACAACGACCAGGGGATCAGGGCCAACAGAGGACAGATCGGTCAGGGACGTCGAACCGAGAGGTTTCAAACCCTCCGCTTCGGGTGGGTCCACAAACTCAGGGTGAGCATGGTCGGTCGGGGGGGCACCTCTAAGCCACAAGGCAGGATTCATATCACAATTAACGCGTGCTTGAGACACTACGGGAGCGGACAATGAATAATCCTCATGATCCTTATTCCACTCGCACTCCCAGATGCGGTGCCTCAGGGTCTCAGGCGCCTTCAGACACCTGGGGCACCGCTGCTGCTCCTCTGTGCCCGTCGGGAACTGGCGCACCCGCGGCCACTGCGCTCCAGCAGCCACACAAAGTGTCTGGCCAGCCTGGTCGTAGTCCCCGTTCTGCGAGAACTTCACAAACTCTCGGCGAGTCCAATAGAGATCAGCACCTCCAGCGAGATCTTCAGCTCCCTCGTGCTCAGAAGCTCGAGACCAAAGCTGAGCGTGAAAATCAAGCATAACGTCCTCCAGCACTCCGCCCACATCCATCTCATCGCCAGAAAACCCATCCAGAGATGATGTGGGGATCTTCCATTCAGCAGATCCGCCATGCTCTGGGCGCCACCAGGAAGTAGCTGAGGTTGGCTTCCAGCCAGCATCAAGCAACGTGGCAATCACTGCAGACACTGGTCCCTTGACCAATCGCCATCACCCAGCCCGCCCCGCAATCTCCAGACGACGAAGAACTTTCGGCCAGGATGTTTAAACTCTCTGATGAAATTCAGGGTGGAGGCGCCAGACCGACATATATTCAGCCAGAAGCTGGCGTCTCAGCTCCAAGGCGGGATCTTTCTGACCATACAGAATGGCTAATGTACTGGTCAAGCACCTGCCCTTCAACGGGCCTGCTCCTGCAGTGGCCGCCTGACGTCGAAGGCGAAGGAGCTGGTAGGGTGCAAGGCCATGAACTTGATGTCCATATGCTGCCTGCGGCAACGCTCCAGTCTTCCACAGGCCCTGAGAGGCCTTGCGGAGCCGTGCGTGACGCCGAAAACGCTGCAGACGAGCAGCACGGCGAGCCGCGTTAGCAGCGCGCTGAGAAGATTTGCGAACCGTCCTCCGTCCACCACCTGTGGCGTCGACGCCAAGGTGTACCTCCTCCAAACAATACTGCACTGGAATAGACTTGCGACGAAGCTTCTTGGCCAGCTTTTTGCCCATGGTGATCACATTAGAGATAAGCACCGTCTTCGGGGAGACCACCAACCGCATAGCATCCAAACCCTGTTTGAGACTTTACCTTATCCCGAGGTCCCTCTGAACGCAACACCGTATCGTCGATGAATGTCCAAAATGTAGTAAACTCGGTTCTGGCCTGAGCACGCTGCAGCAGCGGGTGCAGGAAGAGCTTCGCTGACCGCACCCCATGAGGGGAACCCGCCACCAGAGACCGAGTCGGCAGGATGGCGTTGGACGCTCCCTTCTGGCCACGAAGAAATCGGGGACCAGCACATGACTGCACCTCCAGGCATACCACAATGGGCGGGTACCCCAACTGCTGCGCAGCGCAGCCCAAAAGGACCCAGGACAGCGAGTCGTAAAACTTCTCGAATTCCAGCAGCAGTGTGGCCACCGTGATGCCCAGCACCGTCGCTGTCTCGTCAAGTAGAGCCCTCAGGAGAGCAGCGCGTAAGGCGCTGCTGCCTGCAATAGCCGTGTCCCAGTGCGCCTCCAAACATTCAGTCCACTCTGAGGTAGCACCATAGCGCAGTCGGCTCCAAATCTTAGCAGACTCTGCCAGGAGCCCAATGGCCCTCTCCCCTCCCTTGGGTTTGGGAAGGAGAGCGCAACTTGTGCTAAGCAGCTGCGCTGGCCAAACTCCTTTCTGCTCCACTTGGTCAAGCAACTCCAGGAATTCCACCCGACCTTGGGGGGGGGCCCTTTGAAGATCACGAGGAGTGAGAGCATCGACACCTGAGGCCTTCGCAGGAAGCTTGGCCACCACACGCTCCAACGACTCCAACTCCAAGGGAGGCAAGGGGTCCCGCCGAGATTCGTAATGCAACTGCTGAAGCATATGGGTGATGGCCTCAGCATCGTCAACTGCGTCAGTCCACAAGGATCGCCAATCTTTCCGCTTGTCGCCCATGAACTCAGAAGGTTCCGAGATGACCTGCCCATGAC